ACGTGATGGTTTTGAGCCCAGTGCCCTGTATTCTGACCCTTGTTCTAACCACAGGGCTTGTTTAAATGCCTGCCCCCTTGTCTGTAAGAGCCTTGAAGCCGGGAGTGGGGTTTCCAGGCCTGTCACGGGCAAGGTGTTCAGCAAATTCGTTGAATGATTGCGTGATGCCTCCTCATGGCCTCTCCTCTTTCTGATCATCTTTCATCACCTCCTGGCCTGGCCCCCTCCCCCCACTCAACCTTAGGCTGGGATGTTGGCATCATGTCCTCCAGGACACTGACCTCCAGGTCTCTGACCCCTGTGCATGGAGACCTGCCCTGCCCCTTTCTGTTCCTATAGTACCATGAGCATGCTCAGTCACAGCAGGTCAGCTCTCTTGAAATCACTTGTTTGTCTGTCCCCTTCACCGAAATGTAAGCTCCTCAATGGCCAGGCTGTGTTCCATTCAGTTGTGGGTTCCAGACCGATTCTCCATGAACAATAACTGCAGAGACTGGATTTAGGAGAGTGCTTCTGAGTTTCTAGGAAACTCACCTAAAGTGACATCAGAAAGCTAGTGGGAATGGATGGACACCAAAGTTGACAAAGAGGCAGAATGGGTAGGGTCGAGGAAAGTGCACTTTATTTTGATGAGTATTTAGTTAGGGACTGTGAGAAAAAAGAAAGATTTGCCCCAGTCATTAGGGAGTTTATAGTCTTACTGGGAAGACAAACACAAAGAAGAATATAACCAAATGCCCCCTAAGTGTGGTGAAACAGTAGGTGTGACAGGACGTCAGAAAGGAGAGCATGTAGGGTGAGAGAGAAATGGGCTTGAATGGCCCCCATGGGAGTGGTCAGACCCTGCGAGGCCTCCAGGGGGCTTGCAGAGCCCTGCTGATCCCAGTGTAGAGGGGACAAGCTATTCTGGATACTGGCCTTCCATGAGCTCGGGGGATTATTTCTCCCCGAGTCCTCTGGGGCAGGGTGATTCAGGGGACTGGATGGGCTGTGGCTCTGCACTCTGCTAGGCCTCACAGGGTCTGGGCTGGTCAGGACAGGTTCTGGGAGGTAAAGGGGGGTGTTAGGTTGGCCCTGCGAGTTCCTAAGCCAGGTTAAGGATTTTTTTTGTTGTTGTTGTTTAGTGTATATGAGTTTTAAGGGCTGATTACTGAATAAAAGCAGAGGCATTGGTCTGGGTCAAAATTAGTGCTCCAGGTTTTGACTGAAATCATTTGAGCTTCAAGGGTCTTCCAGCCTGAAGGCAGGCTTCTTGGGGCTCCACGGGACTGAACAGGAGATGGTTCACATTCTTTACTAGAAGAGCACATCAGATTTTCCTGCAGAGATTTTCTAGTAGGCCAGAGTAAAGCCCAAGTGCATATATGTGTGTATAACTATATATATGTATTATATACAACTATATTATATACTATATTATGTATATAACTATATATAATATAGTACATATGCAACTTATTAGTATATATTTATATATAATATATAACATATGTAGTATATTATATACAGTTGACCCTTGAACAATATGGGGTTAGGGGAACTGATTCCCTGCACAGTTGAAAATCTGTGTATAAGTTTTGACTCCCTCAAAAACTTAACTAATAGTCTACTGTTGACCAAAAGCCTTACTGATGATATACACAGTTGATCAACACATATTTTGTATGTTATATGTATTATATACTGTATTCTTACAATAAAGTAAGCTAGAGAAAAGAAAATGTTATTAAGAAAATCATAAGGAAGAGAAAATACATTTATAGTACCATACTGTATTTCTGGAAAAAAATCTACATATAGGTGGACCCGTGCAGTTCAAACCTGTGTTGTTCAAGAGTCAACCGTATAGGGGCGCCTGAGTGGCTCAGTCATTAGGCGTCTGCCTTGGGCTCGGGTCATGGTCCCAGGGTCCTGGGATCCAGCCCCGCATCGGGCTCCCTGCTCAGCGGGAGGCCTGCTTCTCCCTCTCCCACTCCCCCTGCCTGTGTTCCCTCTCTCGCTGTGTCTCTCTCTGTCAAATAAATAAATAAATAAATAAATAAATAAATAAATAAATAATCTTTTAAAAAATAAAAAGAGTCAACTGTATATAGTGACACACATACACACACATATACACACGCCCACTCCAGGTGGTTCTGGCGCACAACAAGGTGCTAGAACACTGTCCTCGTCTGATGCAGGTGCATACCTGGGGCTGACAGGCCTGCACTGCAGGAGCATAGGCTGGGATGTTGGCATGTTTTGCTACCTCCCTGGGGGGAAAGTGTTAGCCATCTTCCTCCTTGATGCATAGGAAAAATTTCAGTTTTCCTTCCAGAATACAACTAAAGACCTTGTTATCAGAGCTCCAAGAGTCACCAAGAGCTACACAGGTACTTGAAAAAGCCAAAGTCTTCTGGGCCAGAAATTCCCAGTTCTGTCTGTGCCTTATGATGGGAGGGCATTTTCCACACCTTTCATCAGTCTGAATCCAGGGTCCCCAAAGTGGCAACAGGGCATGTAAGAAGGAAGTTGGAAAAAAAAATGTCTCATTTCAGGGCCAACAATCATGTTGTTACCTCCTACGGGGCTTTTGGGAAAGTGGGTGGGGGCAGGGTGGAGTGGGGTGGGAGGCTGATACTAAGAACAGAGCCATTAGCCCCACTCAGGACTGGCTACTCTCTGCCTTGGTCCCGGGGGGGGGGGGTCCATTTTAGCTCAGGAGGACTCACCTAAGGCACCCAGGGGTCTCTGCAAAGATTTTCTGTCACACTTGCTAGAAGGTCACAAAGAAACAGCCTCCTAGTTCCCTTATCTCTCATCCTGATAGGGAGGGCAGGATTTCATTTTCCTTTCCTAGATTTGGCCCTGTAAATACAACTAAATTATGGCCAGCAGGTGGCACCCAGGTCCTGAGCAAAGCCTCCTCTAAACATTTTCCCCCATCCCCAAATCCTCCTCTCCCTAGCTCAATTTAGAAAAAGAAAGCCCCAACTTTGATCTGGTCCCCCAAAGAGGAATCCTGGTTCTGTCAAAAGCTCGTGGTATCAGGGCACAGGGGTGGTCGATGGAGTGCTTTGTTCTGCCCCGGATGTCCTCTAAGAACTGGACCAGCTGGAGTGGCCTGGAACATTGGGTCTAAGATTGTGGACTGAACTACACCAACCTCCCTATGCCTCAAAGCTACACATTAAACTCATCAACTGGTCCCACTTCTGATGACTTTTTGTATTGGGTGTTAACTCAGACCTAGACTTGAACTGGACCGGATTCTGGGGGCAAAGATATATAAAGCGTTTACCCAATCATCTGGCTCTGTGTGGTCCAATTGTCTCCAATTACTGCAGAGAAACGGTCTGAGAAAACTCTTTAAGTTAACACACCTGTTACCAAGGGTTGCTTTCCCTCTTCTGAGAGAATGGTAGGCAACCACACCAGGGGTCAGGCTCTGTTCCAAAAGCTAACATAGCAGGTCTTCCCTGTTCCTTTGTTTCTACCATCATCTTTGGCACATGGTGACTATCAAGGGAAACGGCCCCTGACTGGGTTGTGGTGTGTCACCGGCTGAGTCAGCTGGAAACCCCATTCTAGGATCAGACTGAGAATGTGGCCTTGGGAAAAGCCTGTTCTTCAGGACCTTGACTCCGGCTACCAGGTCTGGAGTCATGGGAAAGACAAGTTGAGGAGGTTTAATCTGGTGATTTTGCTAAATCATTTCCTATGCTAGGACCATAAGGTTCAGGGTGCATTTACTGGCGGTGGGAAAGGCGGTTATAGCTCTCATCAGGAGACGTGAAGCTGCTGGCCATTCAGTGGTCTAAGGCCTTGGAAGCGGTCAAGACTAAATCGCAATCTCCCATGGTCAGAAGAGTTTCTAGAAACCATCCAATTCCTTCCCAGATACCTAGGACGACATTAGCTCTAGGTATTTATATTCCTAAATCATCAATAAGTCTGTATAACTCTGAAAGCTCACATTGCGATATTTAATAACGGCATCACGAGCCTAAATCTGATTTTGGCTTTTTGTTTTCAAGTCTTCAGTGGGGATCCATCTTCCACAAATGCGTCTTGAAGAGAATTCAGGGGTCCCCAGTTCTTTGGTCCCTAGGAGAACTCCCTGCAGTTCCCAGGACTCTACCCTCTGTCTAGCACAGCTAGGAAAGACCAGGTCCTTCAGTTCTGCAGTGGGTACTGGGCAGGCCTTCAGCAGGCTCCAGAAAGGTGTCGCTTTAAGAATACTGATCTCTAGGCAGATCACTTGGATTCAAATCCTGGCTCTAACATTTCCTAGCAGTTTGGCTTTGGGCCTCAGTTTCCTCATATATAAGAAGGGGGCAGTTCCCACTTCACAGAGCCTTTATGAGGATTAAGTGAACCACATATACCGAGCACTGAGCAGAGCCTAGCACATAGTACATTTTCAGTAAGTGTTATCAATGTCACTGGGGCAGACAGTGAGAATCCAAGGGCCCTTGTTTGAGAAGGCAGGTGCCCAATACATATCCAGCTTCAGGTCTCCGAGCCCATGGAAGGCCAGTCCAGGAGGGAGACAGACTACAGAACTCTGCCCTTTCTGCCTGGGGACAGCCATCTGGGCTTTCTGAAGCTGGGCCTCTGACCCCAATCCCTCCCCAACTCCAGATTTTCCCAACTATTGGGCTTTGTAGATGCAACCCTACCGGCCAGGAGAACTGGAACAGGCGCTGTGGGATCAGAGGATGACTCTGAGGAGTCTGCCAAAATGTTTCCCGCTCCTGATGTAGGGCTATGCCCATTGTCACTGGGCTAACCCTTCCTGCCCAGGCCCAGGGGGGCTGAAGTCACCTGTTTGGAAAATCTGCAAAATCGCTACCCCTTTTGCCCTTGGGTCACACATCCAGGTTATTCTGGGGTTGCATGGAGGCAATATGTGCAGGCAGGCATAAAGGGTTTTGTGGGGCTGGAGGGGCCCCCCGGCGGGTCACAAAGCCCTGGCAGGCCCAGCCAATCACCTTCTTCTCACGGTGGGGCAAGGACCGGACTCACGGGCAGGCTCAGCCTCTCAAAGCTGAATTAGTCAAAGGTAGAGAGGGGGCATGTGGAATAGTTCCAGGGCCGGTGGGGAACCAGCACGTGCCCACTCCAGCAGATCCAGGCCAGGGATCTGGATGGTGTTGGTTCAGGTAGGGACTGGAGCTTCTCCAGGATTCTGTTCTCACAACAATTTTAGGTCATGTGGCTGTTCTTTAAGGTCCTGAACCCCGCTGAGGTCCCAGCTACCAGGGTCCTGGACCTGTCCTGCTGAACAATAATCTCAGCTCTTCAAGAGGCATTCCCAGGCTAGTCTGGGTAATGCTGCCGTACGCCCCGTAGCTGCTGGTCAGCCCCCTTCTTGCTGGCCTGCTCTGGAGGGGCCGGCGAGCTGTTGGCCCATGGGTGGCTAGCCTGAGGATAGACAGGGAGCAGGGCTTCAGCGGCTGCCGTGATGTGTTGAGGAGAGAACATTTGTTTCTGTGGCCCCAGTATGCCTGATGTCTCCTTAATGATCCTTCATGCTTCAAAGCGGGTCTGTGTCTCAGGGGGCACAAAAAAGCCATGTCACTGTACCTTCCTTTAAAACAGTGTTTCTTTAGACTGTGTGGCTTGCCATTGTCATTGGGCCAAGTGGCATGTTCTCCCTCCCTCTGGAACAAGTGGATCTGACCGGTTGTTAGCCTACTTTGCCTTGATCCCAAGCTCGGCCCTCCTCTGCCCCACAGCCAATCCTTCTCAGAATTTTCCGGCTTTGTTTCCTTGCCTTTTTGACAGACTGCTCATTTAATCCTCTAGCCTTGCCACCAGAAGGAATACCCTGGTGATGTCTAGAACAAACTCGACAAGTTTCAGTGTTTGGTTTTCTGTCTTCTCATGCAGACTGTCATTCTTCAGGTCCCTGAGACTCTAGCTGCCTGCCCTGCAGGAGACAGTGGGCCTCCCTCAGTGGGGATATACACTGAAGGGGTAACCGAAGACCTGCCTACTTTCAAGTATCTTCTCCCCTGGTCTACCAATGGTTCCTGAAATTCCCACCACAAAGACACTTTTAAGGTTTATAGCCTTCATCTCCAAAAAGCCTTAGTAATTATCTCAATTTTGAATATGAGGAAATGAAGGCTCTGTGTTCAAGTGACTTGCTCAAGCTCAAGATCAACCACTGGTAAGACTACAGCATGAACCCACCTAAACCCTATGCTCTTACTACACCACTGCACTGTGGCAGGAAAAGCTATTTGATCTTGCACAGCTCCAGTGTGTGATGACTTGCTCTGATTTCGGCCCCTGAGCGTTAGGAGAAGGGAAAAGAAATTTCAAAGGTTTTCTTCTTTGGGTTTCTTTTTCTAAGCTACCGCAATGTTGTCTTTTTTTTTTTTTTTTTTAAATTCATGAGAGACAGAGGGAGAGAGAAAGAGAGAGAAGCAGAAGGAGAAGCAGGCTCCCAAGGAGCAGGGAGCCCGATGCGGGACTCAATCCCAGGACCCTGGGATCATGACCTGAGCCGAAGGCAGATGCTTAACCATCTGAGCCACCCAGGTGCCGCTGCAATGTTGTCTTAATCTCAATCACCAAGTATTTACTGACCACTGACATAAGGTACTAAACACTTTGTGAGGCACCATGAGGACACGGGATCATTTTAAGACATGGATCTTGTCCTTAAGGAGCCTTTGTTTGAAGAAATAAGAGTAATTCATAAAACCATAAGGGATCCCACAAGCCAGAACATATGAAGTGCTTAACAGTGAAAGTACACTTGGCTTTTAAGTGCTCCAAGAGAGTGCAAAGGACGAGTGTGGGCTCAGTTAGATGATTTCTGGGAGAAGGTGGCACCTCACTTGGGCCTTTAAAGATGACAGGATATCAGAAAGCAGTGAAGAGAAAATGGGAAATTAGAGACATGGGAAAGAAGTTTGCTGTTACTTTTATTTTTTAAAATGAGCCAAAGACCAGTGATTGTATCTTAGAGGAATCTTAGGGGATGTGATTAAGAGAGGAGATAGGAGAGGTAGGTGATGTGTCAGGAGCCAAGGGAGGGACTGGTTTTAAGGAGGAGGTTATCTGCCCTGCTTAATGAAGTTACCAGACCTCTGAGGGAGAAATGGTCATTAGCTTGTGCAAGAAGTAATGATGAAAGTCTGAGTCATCTTGCTGGAGGCTGGAGACAGAAGCTAGACCTGAAGACAGTTATGGAGTCCTAGATCATTTGCCCAAGAGGATGCTGAGCGGGGAAGTCAGGAGTTTGTCATCCAGGGTGTTTGTGTCTGCGGCCATGGCAGGTGGAGTAGCAAGCGACTTGCCTGCAAGGTGGGGACACCATGCTGCTTTTAGTAAAAGCTGGAAGCCATATACAAGATTTAATGTAGGCTTGTGCTGTTCATCTTCGACCTCCCACCCTTCCCCTTCAGAATCCGTATCCTGTTCTTAAGTTCTAGATCGTATCTGTCCAAGGAGACTCCCAAGTGCAACCTCATGGGCTTTCTAAAGCTTCTTACAACACTGTGTCATGAATGAAGAGAAAGAATGGGAAAAATTTTAAATATAATAAAGTCTTAACTAAGTTGAACGTTTGGAAAATACTTTAAGTATTCATTTGCTATTGTGTTTAACCGTAGTTAATCAGAACCACTTTTGATCTTTAGTTTTGTTGAAAATCTTGTTGAAAAGTACTCTATTAAGGCAGGGTGGAATGCACAAAATTTATTGCTAAGGACTTCCCAGAGCCTCTGATTCACTCACGTGCTTATCGCCATTTATGGAGTGTATATTCTAGGCACTGAGCCAGATGCAGGGTCTATAGGAAGGAATGGGACCTGGTCAGGGCCCTCGAGGTGTTCATGGACCAGGGTCAGAGCTAGGCCAGTGAACAAATAACCAAAGGGCTGCACATTATGCTACAACCCCACAGGCAGGAAGGCATACTGTTGGAGCAACCCTGCTTCGTGGGCCAGGGACAGCTTTGTAGAGGAAGCATAGTTTGATGTGGGTCTTGAAGGAGAAGGTCATCAAACAGAGCATTAAGAGGAGAGAAGAATGGACTGGGAAGAGGGAGAGGATTACAAATAGTTCACCCCAGAATGCATGCTGGGAGCAGGAGATGAGGTTAAAAAGGTATACAGAAGCCACACACCAGGAGCTCTCTAAAGAGGTTAGGGGGTATTTCATCCTGGCGGAAACTCATCAAGGGATTTTTTTTTTCTTCCTGGATACAATATATTTATAATAATACAAAAATATTTATAACAATACTAGAGTTAAGAAACTGAGCATAATTTCCAAATCAAAATTACAGCAAATGAAGTTACAGTGATTAGAAGCTGCATTAAATTTATAATTCTTGAGGCTTTATTTTATATTATCTTTTCTAGTAAAAATTGAAGAAATTCCCAAGTGCTGCTTTGCAGAAATCAGTGCCCTCCAAATTTTTGGAAATTCTTTATTTTGAAATAATTTTAGACTCACAATTGCAAAATAGGACAAAGAATTCCCATGTACCCTCATCCAGCTTCCCCAATAACATCTTACATAACAATTGTGAAGGCCAAGAAGTTGACATTGGTACATTAACTAAGCTACAGACATTATTTGGATTTAATCAGTTTTTACATGCACTTTGTTTTTGGTGTACAGTCTATGAAATTTTATCACATGTGTGGATTCATATAATCACCACCCTACTAGGATGCAGAATTGTTCTATAACCTCAAGGAAACTCCCCTCTGCGGCCCCTCTACAACCGCGCCTTGTCCCCAACTCTAACCCCTGGCAAGCCCAGATCTGTTTTCCATTGCTGTAATTTTGTAACTTTGAGAATGCTATTTAAATTGAATTATATAGTAACCTTTTGAGATTAGCTTTTCTCTCACTTAGCATAATGCCTTTGGTTCTATCAAGTTGTTGCATAGATTAAGAATCCTTTTTTGTTGCTGAGTAGTATTCCCAAAACAATGGTGCATATACGACTATACCAGAGTTTATCCATTCACCCACTGAAGGATATCTGGGTGTTTCCAATTTTTGGTGATTACAAAAAATCCTATGAGAACTTTCCTCAGTCTTCTCTTGCTTTGTCCATGAAGGTCTGGCTCTGGGAGAGATCTCTCCCTGTTTTTCTTTCTTTTTTTTTTTTAAGATTTTATTTATTTATTTGAGAGAGAGAGAGAGAGAGAGAGAAACAGCATGAGAGGGGAGAAGGACAGAGGGAGAAGCAGGCTCCCCGCCGAGCTGGGAGCCCGATGCGGGACTCGATCCCAGGACTCCGGGATCATGACCTGAGCCGAAGGCAGTCGCTTAACCAACTGAGCCACCCAGGCGCCCTCCATGTTTTTCTGTCCTCTGGAACTACAAAGCTAGTTGAAGTTTGTAGTTGGGAGGCCTGGGCATTAGGTTCAGGGGAGAGGCTGAAACACAGGTGCACAGCAACTCTTTGGGGACTGACAGTCGTTCCCCAAATTATGGGTTTGTTCAATCTAAACCTAAGTCTGCCCCCGCAGGCCAGATTCTTGCTTCTTACATGCATTCACTCTATAACCCAAATTTGTGAACTTATCTTATTATGGCACAATTTTATCATGGATAATTTAGAATTATAGCAGTCAACCTGGGGAGCCTTCGATATGAAAATTGAGAAGTGCTTTAGAACAAAAAGGGGACAAAGTTTCAAACATTCCATTTTTTGCAGGATTATTGGGGCTGAATCCATTAAGATTCAGAATGGCCTATCTAAATTTCTACCCAAACTTGCACAATACCCTCTTAAAACTAAAGAAGGACTAAAATAGTCAAAAGCATACTAGAGAAAGGACTTATCATACCTTGAACAGTCCTTGTAACACCCTTGCCCTTCAGTCAAAAAACCCAGTGGATGGGGATATAGGTATACTCAGGACCTTGGGGCCATAAACAGAATAGTCATTCTCTGACCAGAACTAAATACTCTTTTTAAAATTTTTTTCTTATTTTTAAAATATTTTATTTATTTTAGAGAGAGAGACAGCACAAGCAGGAGGGGCAGAGAGAGAGAGAGAGAATCTCAAGTAGACTCCACGCCAAGTGCAGAGCCCAATATGGGGCTCGATCCCAGACCTGAGCCAAAATCAAGAGTTGAATGCTTAACCGACTGTGCCACCCAGGCACCCCTCTTTTTTTTTAAGATTTATTTTATTTATTTATTTGAGAGAGGGAGAGAGAGCGTGGGGCGGGGAGGAGCAGAGGGAGAGGGACAAGCAGACGCCACGCTGAGTGCAGAGCCTGATGCAGGGCTCAATTCCAGGACACTGAGATCATGACCTGAGCCGAAATCAACAGTGGGATGCTTAACCGACTGAGCCACCCGGGTGTCCCCAGAACCAAATACTCTTTTATCTCTAGTGCCTCCCAAGGTTGCATATTTTACAGTTGCAGATATATGTTCCGCTTTCTTAGTGTTCCTTTAGATCCAAAGAGTCAACATTTATTTGCTTTCTTCTAGGAAAATCAACAAAATATCTGGACTGCTATGCTCTAAAGATTTCCTGAGGCCTCACCTACTTTTCACAAGACCTCAACAACAACCTCAAGGACCTTAAATTTCTGCCTGATTCTTCATGTGGATGACCTTGGGTTGTGCTCTAAAGAGACGTACTCTAAGACCGATTCCAGTGATCTACTGTATTCTTTCAGTGTTTTCAAAGAGAAGTTATAATGTGGTCAAAGTAAAGTTCATTGTCCAGGACATGATTTATCCCAAGGAGGTAAATCCTATACTCTCGGCAGACTGTAGGCCATTCACAACTTTGAACATTTCTAAATCATCACACTTATAAGTTAACCAAGTCCTCAGTATGCAGACCTCTTCCTTAGGAATCTAAACATGAAGAGGTCTTTTGTGAATTAAATTAGCCCTTTCACATCTTCCCACTCTGGGCTTACCTAATTATCATAAACCTCTCTATCTATTTGTACATGTGAGGTCTGGACAAACCTTTGGTGTTATGACTCAACCTCATGGGAATCATCAGACATCAACAGTCTAGTGCACTGTCTCTTCTCCTGTAGCAAAGCCTACTCACCTGTCCTAAGGGCAACAGCCCAGCAGCTAGGCTAGTAGACGCTTCTGCACACTTGGTTCTAGGGTCTCCTTTACATCTGATGGTCCGTCATATGGTATACAGTATTTGTAGCTCACTGAAAATACACATTTCTCAGTAAGTAGGCTTAGCACCAGTGAAATCCTATTACTTTCTCCCTCACATATTTTTCTGTTCATGGTGCTAATACTTTGAGTCCTGCTATCCTGCTTCCAGATGTCATGTTTTCAGTGAGGTGATTTTGGCCCAATGGCTTCTGTTCTAGGAAAAAGATTGTTAGATCATTCAAGAAGGAGAAAAACTGGGCCTCCATTTAAGAACCCAAACCCTAGCCACTCAAGGGCACTCAGGGTTGCTTTCTTTTCTCCTCAAGCCTTTTCAGTTCATGCTTTACAAGAGGCCTGGAAAGTAGGGCAAATCGTACCGAAGGTGGAACTGACAGACTCTGCTGCAGGCCACGCTGTGGGATGCGAGAGAGAGAGAGAGAGAGAGAGAGAGAGAGAGGCCCAGGACGACCCCCTGCCACCCCCGTTTCTTGCCATAGCGTGTGAAGGATGGAGGAAAGCATGGGAGGAGCAGGTCTGAGGATGGGGGGGGGGAACCAGGAGCTCACTTAGTATCATACATGGACACTGTGAAGAATATGAAGAATATGTAAGGGTATTAGGAAATGTATTTAATGGGGCATAATATTTCAAGTTTAATTAAATCAATCTTCAGTAGTTGGACATTTTTGATATTGAGATAGTGCTAGAATTAATATCTTTGAACATTTGAGTTTTGTCTAAATGTAATATCACCCTGTGGGGAGGGAATTACTATGGCAAAAGGCATGGCATATTTTAAAGCCTAACAGCTTTCCAAAAAGATGGTACCTTTTATTTTTCCTCCAGAAGTTTCAGAGCTCATTTCAACACACTCTCACCAACATGGAATGTCAGTATTTTTAGAAAAATGTGTTCATTTAGGGGTACCTGGGTGGCTCAGTCGGTGAAGCATCTGCCTTCGGCTCAGGTCATGATCCCAGGGTCCTGGGATCGAGCCCCGCATCGGGCTCCCTGCTCGGCGGGAAGCCTGTTTCTCCCTCTCCCACTCCCCCTGCTTGTGTTCCTGCTCTCGCTCTCTCTCTTTCTGTCAAATAAAATAAATAAATAAATAAATAAATAAATAAATAAATAAATAAATAAATCTTTTAAAAAATGTGTTGATTTAATAAAAAACTTTTTTGTTCTTTTAAAAAACACTGCTTTGATTACTAGTGAAGAACATTTCTATGTTTACTGCCCGTTTAAATGTATTCGTCTGTGAACTGTTTGGGCTGTAGAGTTTGAGGAACCCACAAGTCATCCATGTGGTCTAAAAAACATCTGGAAATTCTGATCGTAAATTCTCAATATTCACACCTTTACTGAAGGCCTAGGATCCTGAAATGGATTTATATTGGCCCCAGGCATAGTTACTTTTTTGGTAAATGCCTGATATTCCATGGAATTTATTTTGAGCATGAGATACTAGAAAATGTCCTTATAGGAAGGTTTTGAAGATTCACTTAAGAAAATTATAAAATGAAAAAAAATACTGTTGCTACACTGCACTTATGCTAAAATGTATTTTGATTTGGAAAAAGTAGAAGTTTGGTAACAATGGAGAAAATGCACATCACCAGGGAACCAAGAGAAAGCTAGACATTACCCAAGATATGTGCCCCTCATATTTTTGCCTAGTGTTTTGGGGAAAGAGGTTAAGAAAGGGAAAATGACTTACGGTTTCCCAAGATTCTGCTGAAAGTACGAGAAATAGAGAATTAAGTGCACACTTTAACTGCACCTCCAAAATAGGCAGCCTTATGGTGTATTTCCTAAGGAATATATTGGCATGTTTAGCCATGTAGTCAGGCAGCATGGTACTCCAAAAAAGACTCTAAAGAACCCAGCTCCAGCCCTGCCTCCCATGATCTTCTGGGCAAAGGTGGCCTCTCTAGGCCTTGGTTTCTTCTTGTGAAACAGAAATGCCTCTTGACATCACTCACTATGTGATTGGCTCGTGGGCACCCAAAACACAGATGCTCTGAACAGACAATTCAGGGAAGAAGTACAAATGGCTAGCAAGCATGAAATAGGAAAAATGTTCAACTTTATGAATGATTTTTAAGTAGCTATGTTGCTGGACTGTCACGAAGGTTAGGGCTAACCTAAGTGGGTCACTCACACAGGACATTTATAGTTATAGCTATTGGTGAGAGGTTGGTAACGTAATTCTGACAGAATTTTTAAGTCTTTGACATTGAGCCAGGAAGAATGTAATTCGGTAGGGAGAGGAGATTGGAGACTATTATACCGTTAAACACAGTAAGTTGTGAGTGGGATCTATCTTGTGGGCATCTTATGAGGCAGCATTCCACAGTTGGGAATAGCGAGGGGCCCGGGTAGAGGGCCCCGAGCTGGGCTTTTGGCAGCAGTGACTGGCCAGACTATCATGATCCTGGCTTTAGCTGGATTTGTAGTAGGTGCTTCATAAATTTTAGTTTCTCTTCCTTTCTTTTTCCTCGTGGTGGTAATAACTGACAGTCGCTCCAAACCGTGCCCTATAAGGAAAGCTCACAGAGAATTTGGGTTCCTTCAGATAGCGCTTCTCATGTTTTAGGTGTCACCTCTCTGGAGGTCAGGGTAAGGTCATGAAGGGACCACCAAAATAGAATTCTTATCATTTCCTTCCTGGAACCAGAATTCTGGAATTTCCTTTTTTTTTTAATTTTAGAGGGGTCATGGTATGGTGCTGAGATTTGGCCTATATCCCTACACTAAGCACAAGGCTTGCTTGGATTCATCATTCACTCATTTGTTCACATGTGAATATATGCCTACACACATGAATACGGAAGCACATACTCTGTACAGAGAGATGACTGGGCCAGAGGAATTCTCTCATCCATGGATGGCTCCTTGTTTAATGAGTAGGACTGTACATAGTGGCCAACTGCTGATAGTTAATAACCATTTCAAAGGGTAGTGACGTCTAGGGATAATTTACTCCTTCTATCACCTCCCCGGGAAATTGTGGCATGTCCCAAAAGCAGCTTAATATGATGAAAATAGCCCCTGAATCTACAGATACTGTTTTTTCAGCCTTCTCTCTCTTACAGATTATGAAGTGGGCTGGTGAGGCTACCCTGCTTGGGGTACATCAGGTAAGAGTGATGTGTGAGGGTATGGGAGGGCGGTTTCAAAAGAGGCCAGATACCAGGTGCACCTCAATTCCAAATAAGCCAGGATGGTGTTGAATTAGGACTAAGATGGGAACAGAGGATGACTTCATGGTGGCAGAGTGAGGTACATGCTCATCAGAGACCTCACGAGTCCCTGCAATGCTTGTCAAGATGAGGACCCACACCGGCTGCCTGGGGCCACAGGATGCCCCACAAACTCACATGTCCAGGCAGCAATGGAGAAGGGTGGAGGGCTGGCTGAAGCTCTTGCGGTCCCCCCTTGGGGTCCCCACGGGCTGCTGGGCACTTCATAATCTGGTCAGTTAAGTCCACACTTAAATGGTCATAGGATAATAGCTTAATGATGAACAAACAAACAAAAACCTGTTGTTGAGAGTCCAGGGAAATGTACTCTTTTAGACATGGGTGGTGAGAGTATCATTTAGCAGTCTTTCTGGAGTGCAATTTGTTTAAAAAAAAAAAGATATTAAAAGCCTTTATACTTTGTATATTCTTTGACCTTATTTATCTTCTAGGAATTTTGTACTAAAGCAGTAATTATGGGTATGTGTAAAGCTTTAGATATAAGCATATTTATAATAGTGAAAAACTGGGAACTGAAATGATCGACAATAATGAACAGATCAAGAAATCACAGGATATCTAAACCATGTAGCTGCTTAACAGAGCGCCTCTGTAGAGACTAGTAATGATGCCGGTGCTGCTGGCCGACTCAGCACCCACTGTGCGCAACCTCTCCCTTGCTGGTCCCCACCAGAGAGGTCAGAAAAATGAAGTACAAGCTTGGAGCCACCTTGAGACGTGAGGTAACGACCCAACTGGCTAAGGGGCCAGACTGTCCTTGAAGACATCCTTGAGCTGTTCTACCAGCCTGTACCTCCTACTTGCATACTCCCATCGTGTGAGAAAAATGCCCCTATTATTTGTTTAAACCACTGTTAGTTTGGATTGGGGTTTGCTGTCGACTAACTGCCAGTTACCCTTCGAGTTTACTTGTATCAAAACACAATTCCAACTGATAAAGACATGGAAGGACATTTACAATATATCAAGTGAAGGGAAGGTATTATGGAGCAGAAATATACCAGGCATAGAAGAATAATGTGAGGATACGTGTTCTAAAATATAAGCGTGGTTCTACCTGACGGTAGGGTCATAGGGGATTTTTATTTTCTTTTTCAGGTTTATCTGGACTTTCTAAATTTTTTACAATGAACATGTATAACTTTTGTGACAAGAAAAACCTCAATTAAAAATATTTTTTAAAAACAGGGAGAGAAGTACGGAAGAAAGCTGTGGTCAGCCAGCAAGAAGCTCTTTTTTTTTAGATTTTATTTATTTGACAGAGAGAGAGACAGCAAGAGAGGGAATATAAGCAGGGGGAGTGGGAGAGGGAGAAGCAGGCTTCCTGTGGAGCACGGAGCCCGATGCCGGGCTCGACCCCAGGACCCTGGGATCATGACCTGAGCTGAAGGCAGACACTTAACCAACTGAGCCACCCAGGCGCCCCCAGGGGGTCCTGAGATGGAGCCCTGAGTCAGGCTCTCTGCTCAGTGGGAGCCTGCTTCTCCCTCTCCCTGCAGCTCCCCCTGCTTGTGTTCTCTGTCAAATAAATAAATAAAATCTTTAGGGGAAAAAAAAAAGAAGCTCTTGACAATAGTTGCCAAAAGAACCACTTAAAGGCTTCTGTGGCTCTTTGTCTGGGTGGTTCAGACTTCTTTGAAGTGGTTCAAGCCCTTCCTTGCTAGTTTGTCTGGTTTTTAAAAGGTCTGGCCCCAGCAGTGGGGCGCAGCCTCCAGGGATGGCCTCCTGGCCACAAGGGGCTCCAAGCTCTTCCCAGCTCCTCTCTCCTCTCCACTGTGGGCCTCGCTTCCCATCTCTTCCCCTCCATCGCTCATTTTGTGCTTTCTCATAAGCTTCTTGGCAGAATCAAATGAGATAACCTACCTGGAAGTCTTCATCCGTTACAAACTATAACAAAGGGTAAGGTATTTTCCTTTGTACTTCGTATTTATACTTTGCTCTTCCTCCCTGTTTTAAAATCTTTCACTCTTCTCCTTTCTTTTTCCATTCCTCCTCCTGCCTCCTCTGGCCATGGCATACCAGGGGCATGATGGGCCTCCACGGCCCTGGACCTGTACTTCGGTCACATTCCACATGACCCTGCACTGTTTACCTGTTCACGGGCCTCTTGCCCTTGCCCAAGCAGTGAGCTCCCTGAGCAGCCACCATGCCTTTCGACTCTCAAGAACCTTTCATAATACCCGACTCACAGTACACTCCTGGTGAATGTTTGCCTGACACCGGCGAAGGATAAAGCACAATACTGATGCAGACACACATACTTATGTGTAAAATCAGCCATCCGTATAAAGGAGTGGAAATGTGTTATTTGCATCCTAAAAATTAAGGTCTTGTGGAACCTTTATATTTATGAACCAATAACTGAGAATTGGCAGAAAGATTAGTAGGTTGGAAAAACAAATTTTTTGAGAGGGAGAGGGGTGGGGGGAGGGGCAGAGGGAGAGAGAATCTTAAGCAGGCTCCACGCCCAGCGCAGAGCCTGACGCAGGGCTGGATCTCATTACCCTGAGATCACGACCTGAGCAAGATCAAGAGTCAGATGCTTAACTGACTGAGCCACCCAGGCACCCCTGAAAAATGAATTTTTTCTCCAAACTGCAGTTTAAAAATATTGGGGAATGGGAACATTAATAATGATAATGTGGAAACAAACGTTTTAACAGTAAAATATTAGAACTAAATTATATTTTAAATCTGTATTATCCATGAAAATGCTTTTAAAAAAAAGTCTGCGAGGATCTGTGGAATGCTGTATTTAAAGTGCATGACGTTGGGACCCAATCCTGCCTCTCCTGCTTTGGCCAAGTTGTCAAATCATTGATTTTTCTCATCCAAGTCGTTCCCTTCCATTCTCACTGACCTCGTCCTGGTCCAGATTGTTGTCATTCTGTGACCGAACAGTATTCCTCCTCTTAGTCTCCTTTCAACTCTGTTGCCTCTCACTGTGCTGCTTTAATCTGACACCACCCCCCCGCCCCAAGCTCCAGTGGTCCTTATATCTATGCAGATCCTATAGGATAAACACCAAACATCTTGGCCTGGTATTCATAATTTCACTCCACACCACCCCCATTCTTTTCTTTGACTTCTCCATCCTTTAAGCCCCCAGCTTTGGATTGTTGTTCTCCTTCTTCTAGTCTTCCTAATATTGACTCCCTCCCTGCCCGGACTTGCTCCTGAATGCCCTCCTTTTAAGGTGGAACTCCTACCCCACCACTTCCAGGAGTACTGGCTGATGGAGTCAGGATCCCAAACTGCTGTGACCGGCCATGGCAAGAGGCTAAACCACTCAAAAGAAATACATATGAGGTTCTGCACTTGGATCTTAAAAACCAAATGGAAGGAAGAGATGTGGCAGAAGACATAAGGGTTTGCAACGGAGTATGCAAAGTACAGAAGGCTTTTAGACAGATAGGAGCTTGACATAGTTATCTTTGTGATGGAGCTGACAGAGGCTGGGGAAGGGGCTACCACTGACTGAGCCCCTGGCATGCACCTGCCCTTCTTGTGCATTTTATTGATCTCATCTGCCCTTCACAATTTGGGGAGGTCTCATTAGCCCCATTTTACACGCTTTATGTCTATTTCTTTGCACACTACCATTAAAGCAACCCCTGGTTCAATGTCTTCCCATTGCCCCTCATTAAACTCCTTGTGCCTGGCACCTGCCTGCCTTTCCAGCCTCACCTCCCATCACCTCTCCCCCCTCCCACTGCATGTTCCAGTTATAAGACACCATACCAGTGGAGTCAAACTTGGGAGCTTTTTGTTCATACTGTTTTCTTTGGAAATGCCTGCACTTTCTTGCCACTGATCTTCACCTGGAAAATGCCCACCTAATCTCAAGATTCATCTCAAGTGTCACTTTACCTAAAAGGTTTTCCCTGATTCCTACCTCCTTCTACTGGTCTGGGTTAGGTTGGCCTTCTAGGTATTTCTGTAATACTGTGTGGGCATACATCTAGTGCAGACAGTACTTACCATATTTATTTCTTCTACTTCTCTATGAGCTTCCCGAGGGCTGGCATTAAGTCTTTGCATCCTTAATGTCTAGTATGGTGCCCAGCACATGCTATGTTCTCAGATATTAGCAGAACAGAACTGTGGCTCAGACAGTTTAAGTAACTTGCCCAAAGTAACACAGCTGGTTAGAACTGGTTTGAAGCCAGATAACTGACTATAAAGTCCTTCTAGGGGCATCTGGGTGGCTCGGTCGTTAAGCATCTGCCTTCGGCTCAGGTCGTGATCCCAGGGTCCTGGGATTGAGCCCCCCATCGGGCTCCTTGCTCAGTGGGGAGCCTGCTTCTCCCTCTCCCACTCCCCCTACTTGTGTCCCCTCTCTCGCTGTGTCTCCCTCTGTCAAATAAATAAAATCTTAAAAAAAAAAAAAGTCCTTCTAGGATGAGGAAGGTGACAATATTCCCCTTGGAATAGTGAATTCAGTTCATGGGTAGCATGCCTTTAGAATAACAAAGTGACTATAATGGTGAATGTAGTGAATATACTCCTACTAGGTCCTGTGAGGATCTGCTGGAGAACTGGGGGTTTAATCTAGAGATGGAAGAAAAACAGTGTGACCCGAGAACCATCTTTAATTACTTGGAGGGCTATGAATGGAAGAGTAAGGATTAGACTTCTTCTCTGTGGTCACAAGGGGGTAAAACTGTAATCCAAGTGTTGAAGGTACAGAAAGACAGATTTTGATCCATTGAAGAACTTTCCCAGCAGGGCTAAAGGCAGCAAGCCTATCCCAGGAAGGGGTGAGGTCCCATCATGGCAAGTTTTTAAGCTGGGTGACACCCCGTGGGGATGTTCTAGTAGCGTCAAGAACCAGCCTGAAGGCTGAGCTAGGTGAGCTTTTATTTTTAGGTGACCTCTTCAGGTCTCTTCCATTAGATGCTGATTCTATTACTCTTTTCTTTGCCCTCCCTAGCCCTTGGCAATCCCTTACTCCTCTATATTTAGTGAATTTTATGAGTTTACATAGCTCATTTGGTGATTAAGTATATATGTAGTCTGCTGCATTTTAATATTTAAATTACCAATCCTTTATATTGCCATTTAATTTTTCCCTAACATATTCCCAAATAGATACATGCCTCGAAGTCAGGGATCACATATCACGTATTATAGATCTTTGGTCCCACATATCTATACTTGTTCAAAATAGAATAAAAATGTCTTAAATGCTCACTTTGCAACTTGACTTTAATTTGTCTGTTAAAAGGCTTATCTTTTATCTCCTGAAAATTCCCTGCAAAGTAAGAATTAATTCTTCATTAGGTACTTTTCCTCCCAGTATTTTGCTACTCCTTTTAAGATCCTAAAAAGGAAACACTGGAGGGGGCAGTCTCTGCTAGTTAAGGAAACTCCTGTCTTTTAATGTCTCATCTGTTTCCTATGGCTGCCCAAGCACCCTAGAGGCAAAAGCTCCTTCTTTTGGACCTTCCAGGTTCCAAGAGGACCAAACACACTGATAAGGATAACAGAAGGAATAGAGGTGAGAAGCAGGCATGATTGGGCCAAGCAAGCTCAAGGTCCAACACATATCACATATCAGTGGTCCCCAACCTGGAAAGGCCCAACAGTGTCTCCAGGGGAGCTTTTCTAACACACACACACACACACACACACACACACACACACACACACACACACCCCTCTAAAAAAAGATGGAGGTTTGTGGGAAAGCTTCCCAAGTGGTTGCTCTCCAACCTGTTTGAGAAACACTTTTTTCTCATAACCCTATCATTAAGGAAGAGCTTTCCCTTCCTACCCCATTAATTTTTTCATTTATCTCTTTTGATCAGTATAAACTCAGATTATTTTATTCAATGGGTTATAATATATTACTATCATTTGTTTTGATGCTCACATTGTCCTGGTCTTGGCCATTGGGAGACCCGTCCCATGTCTTTTTGACACATTCTCATCATTCTTGAAACTCCTTACTTTCTGGTGGAATAAGATGTTCCAGGCTCAATTTGTACTTTCCCTGCCTTGGTCTGAAAGAAGCCATTTCTCTAAGGATTCCTGGTCCTTTTAGGGAAGAGTGAAAATCACGTTTGAAGACTAAGCATCATATTAATATTTATGACAAAAGAGGACCACAGCAAGTCAGGGAAGGACAAGAAAGAGCCCTCTCTGTGATTATGACTAATAAGCAGAGGTCAGCAATTACGAGTCTGAGCCCCTCTTTCTTTGTAAGGAAAGTTTCACTGGAACACAGCCATGCACATTCACCTATTATTATCTATGGCTGCTTTCATATTACAACAGCAGAGTTAAGTAATTTTGACTGAGACTGTATGGCTTGCAAAGTGTAAAATATTTGCTATTTGGCCCTTGCAGAAAATGTCTGCTGATCCTTGCTAACAAGTATTTACATACTATAGAGAGGATACCTATCAGGAGGAATAATGTGACTTGGAGATATTGTAAAAAGATTAATATCTCTCTCTATGTCTCTCTAGATGTCACTAGGCAGTACCTTTATCAATGCAGAAATAAAATACAAAGTTGGAAAACTGTCATATGGTATGTTGTAGGATCTGGTTGTAAAGGCAATTATAAACATCAGGGTTGGTTATTATGGAATCTAGAAAAAAAATGATGGCTGGAGAGTGAAACTATGTTAGTGCAATTTTAACACTGTCCAGTGAAGTAACACTGTTTAGCTGACACTGGTATTCTGGCCACTAGGACAGTATGCTTTCTAGTGGAGAGGGGAGAATTAGTCAAGCTTGACCATAGTGTGGATGATACATCATTTCTTAACATTTTCCAATTCTACTCGTTCTGATTTCATGTTCACAAAGCAAGCTTCGATCACCTTTCTGATTGTCAAGTCACCATGACAGGAAACAAATATATCCCTTCCTATATTAAATTTACTTTCTGGTACAAATGTGCCTGAGCAAGTAAGTCAGGTTTTTTATTTTATTTTATTTTTTTATTTTTAGGGCTCAGTGACCTTAAGGAGACCTCATCATTAAAGTACCAGATCTAAAGACCTGAGAGGGGCGCCTGGCTGGCTCAGTTGGTGGAGCATGCGGCTCTTGATCTTGGGAGTGTAAGTTTGAGCCCCATGCTGGGTGTAGAGATAACTTAAAAATAAAATCTTCAAAAAAGTACCCGAAAGGCTGGATCCTGAACTGTGTCAGTTCCCTTAGAACATGGCACACAATAAAACAGTCAAACAGCCAGATCATTGTTATATTTCTTTCAAAGTGGGCAGATGCAAAAGTATGCTGAAATGTTGGACAGCTCCCACCCACAAAGATTAGAGCTCCAGCCAAATCCTGGGGGTATCCTGGGAGTGTTCCTTAGAGTCAATGTTCCCAATAAATCTCTGTCTTTTGGGAGAAGCCCACCTCCTACTCAGAAGAGTGTTCTCAAGGTGTCTCAAGGTGTCCATTATAGTTCTGGCTTTGCTGCCAGACATGAACTTTAAAAACCTGACCAGTGGCCAGGACCAAGCTGGGCCTACAGTAGTAGGATAAAGGGCAAGAACTGCCCTATCTCCTAAATCCAGCAAACAGAGTTGGGAAGGCAGAGAAGAAAACAGAGGGCTCACCAGGTTGGCCCTCACGAGAGGGCCAAGTCCTCAACTTGGCCATCTCACTAGCCAGGGACTCACACCCAATGCACTGAGTGATTACAGCAGAATGTATTAACAGGAACTCAGGGGCAGGGGCAGTGTCTCATATTTGTATTCTTAATTCCAAAGCATGGCGCAAAGTAGGTGCTTAATGTTTGCTGAATGACCTGTCTTCTCTTCCCCTCAAACAACCCATCCCCAACTCATAAAATAGGTTAGTATTTTTTAAAAAAATTATCTGAGAACATTACTCAATGAGAATGAGTACAATACGACTTTAAAAATCACATTTTTTATAAAAAAGGAATTGCTATAGCTTTTAGATGTAAATATAATAAATACAAACATATCTCATTTATTCTTCTCCCTTAACTATAGGAGGAATAAGTTTCTGATTTCCCAAACTATTGAGATTAAACAATTACTCATATCCACTTTCTCATAGGAAGTTGGCACAAAGGATGTGTGTGGGATGGTGGTGTTAGTGAAAGACAGGGAACAAATTCTCACGAGTGTGACCTAAGAAGGTCAAGGTTAAAGTCCAGCATGATTTATGAGAGTGAGTTATTTCAATGAGGGAAGGAGGGGAGGAAAGCCCACTAATTTTAGTGGAATGGACAAAATACAGATACTTGTTACCTATTTACATTTGGCCTAATTTAGAGTTTGAGAGTCTGATCTAGAAATGTAAGACAGGGAGTGGATGCCTAGAAGTAGCCAGGGCCTCCCAGAGAGATGGTTTAAGCAATCTCATGATTGCAGGATTTTGGAGGGATAGAGATAGAAAGGAGATACTAAGGACAATGTATAAAAAATTAACCCATTTCTTTTACCTCTCTAGGTTCTACAGAGTGAATGGGGAGTTTCATTCTGTTTTGAAAAACAGTAGGGGTCACTTTGGAACAAGCAGACACAGATCATAACTATGGAGCAGTGACTTTTAATAAAGTGAATTGCAGTGACCCACAGACCTTTTGTAGCCAATTACCACCTCCAAAGTCCTCTTCTTCCTACCACCACTGTCAAGCTTTTTATATTTATAATGATCAAGGCTGTAGGCAGTATTGGCTCAACGACCACTACCACTTCCTTTTTGCTGTTGTCCTTCTACTAGAACGAGACATACCAACTGATGGATAGGCTGAGCCTCAGCTGCAGACCTGACCGTCCCTGGGGTTGATCAACTAAGCCTCCCCAGACTCTGTTTTAGATCTCTTAAATTCAGTGAGTATGCACTGTGCACCCACTGAGTGTCAGGGACAGTGCTGGGCACTGGTGATAGGCAGATGAACAAGATGAGTCCCCTGCTATCAGGAAGCTCACAGCTGAACTGTGGGGAGAGACACACACAATGATACCTCATACGCAAGAGCTGTAACATCAATCGGTTCTTCCCTGGTAATTGAGCAATTACTCTCTTAGTAATTACTTGAATTGTTATTGAATTTGAAAAATTACAGAAGTGGTATTGAAATTCAAATAACACAGATGGGCATAAAATTAAAAAGTAGAGTTTCCTGGTAACAGGTATATGTATTCTTCAGACCTTTTAATATACATATTCAAACCATATATACATATTTATTCCATTGTTTAAAGACAAATATTATAAAAATATTGTGATTTTTTTTTTTTGGTCTAAAAATATCATGGTTACCTTTCAATGAAGTGTATAGTGATTCACCTCATTCTCCTTGATGGTTGCATATTCTTTTGTATTCAGGAACAGTTAATTTCTTTGAAAAGATTAGGGAAAGTTTTGGACAAAAGGTGATTTGTGATCTGGGCCTTGATGGAGGAGTTGGAGTCCATTTAGTAGTAAGCAAAGCCAAGAGATAATGCCTGTGATGGATGAAAGGTGGTTCAGGGAGTGTGGACAGCCTGAGCATGTAAGAGAGGTGTGGAAATATAGTCTCTTTGGGGACCACCAGTGGTCTAGTGAGGACATACTGTCCCTCAGACTTTGGTGTGCATCAGCATCACCTTGGGAATTTCTTTCTTTTCTTTCTTTCTTTCTTTCTTTTTTTTCTTTCTTTTCCTTCCTTCCTTCCTTCCTTTCTTTTTCTTTTTCTTTTTTAAGATTTTATTTATTTATTTGACAGAGAGACACAGTGAGAGAGGGAACACAAGCAGGGGGAGTGGGAGAGGGAGAAGCAGGCTTTTTGCCACTCAGCAGGGATCCCTATGCCGCTATGCGGGGCTCAATTCCAGGACCCTGAGATCATGACCTGAGCCGAAGGCAGACACTCAATGACTGAGCCACCCAGGTGCCCCACCTCGGGAATTTCTTAAAACTGCAGCTGCCCCATCCCCTACCTTGAGATTCTGATTCAGTAGGTTGAGTCTTTGCTCTTACCCACTACACTAGACTGCCTTTCCTTCTGAGTGTGTATTCATCTCACGCTTCATAAGGCAAGGAAGGCAACTGGAGGCCCAGAAAGTCCCCATGGTAGCAGAGTAGAAGATCCTGACATCCCTACATTGTTCTCTCATTTAGCCATCTCATTCTTATTCTTGGGGCATCCTCTCCTACACCAACTCTTCACTTTGTAGTTTTATATCCTCTTTCATTTGAGAAGTTCAAAGTATTCCCAACGCTAACCTCATGATTGGACAATGGGAACGGGTAATAACCTTGTTTTATAGAAGGATAAACAGAGGCACTGGGGGGCTCCTACCATGTTGAGTCAAAACTGAAGCTGAGAACAGAATTCAAGCCTGCCTCTCATTTTGTTCATGATATTATTGTCCTTTCCCTTGAATTATGCAGACTCTGGATCACTTTTCTCATTAATCGAGGCAATACATGGAAAGTATCCTGCACAGCACCCAGCTCATAGCAGAGAAAAGTCCTTTCCCTCCTTGACCACAACCAAGCAGGGGCTGTCCAGGGGCTCTGGAGCTTAGTGGATGTTTCTTGATGTTCTGCAAAACAGTCATCAGAAATTCCACATAGGCTTTTCTTCTAAGGGTGTCAACAAAAGCTTTAGAATGCCATCAGACAATGAAAAAGACAAAGATAGTTGCATCTCAAGGCTTCACTTCTGTGTCAATTTGGGAGACAAGGATGCTGCAATTACAGAGCTGTTTATAAAAAAAAAGTTGAGGTGAAGCTGTCTGCCTGGCACACGGCAAGAATGAATAATAAACCTGAGACTTCACAGTACATGGTGGTGCTGAGCTAGGGCACAGCTTTTCCCTAGGTCCGAGGAGACAGAAAAAGAAGAGCAGGGTTATTCTTCTGCCAAGGAGTGCCAGGGTCACATTTGGCTTTGAATGAAGCCCTAAGAACCAAGATGGACCCCCTCATACCTCAAAAAGGAAAACTCTCTAGAGCAGAGGTTCTCAAATTTTACGGTGCACAAGAATCATCTGACTGGTCTATTACTGATGCAGATTCCTAAGCCCGTCCCCTCACAGAGACAGATGTGGGCTGGGGATCAGAAGTCTGCATTTTTCGCAGGCTTTCCTCATGAGTCAGTGGCAGGACAACACTAGAGACCACCGTGCTCTAGAGAGCACATGCAAGATTTTTCCATTTACCAGCTCTGAGGCAGCCCTGCTTCTGTCACTGTGAACCATCAGTGGTCTGCCCAGCATTAAGCTGAGTCATGGGAAAGCATGAATTTTTACACTGAAGTTTCCCCTCATCTCCAAAAGCTTCAGTCTTCTTTCTGGTTGGATTCTAGAATGTTGTGATGGAGGAAAGCAACTTCGGAAACAAATACAAAGAAATGTGCTGACTTCCTGTATGGATGCTGAAAAAATTTTCAGTGAAGGGTCACAGTTATTAATGCCCACTTAGCTAATTGGTCCCTTTTGCCAACATTTAAAAAGAAGCTAAAAGTACACAGTGTTCCTTCTTGAAGATCACATATACAAGTTAAAAAAAAGAGCTAGAGACTGGGACAGATATTACCTCACAGCATCCCTGAATGCTGAGACACTGGAAGTCCTTATATTAAAGAACCATCCAGGAGGAGCCTCCCTTTCCATCAAGTCAGGATGCTGGTCCCATGAAAGACACTGGTGCCCCATCGCTGTGGCTGCTCAGACCAGTGGGCCAAGAGACACACCATGTAACAATGGCCTTGGTCATTAGAACCCGGCCTCCAGCTGGCGCACCTGCCTACAAGGTGGGAGTAGGGTTGACCATAGAGAGAGGCCCCAGGATGATGGGTTCTTTGTGTCCCCATCCTTGAGTTTTATGCTCTAAACTGGAGCATGTATCCAACAGGCTGCTGCTTTTTAAAGCAAAATTCATTAATTGGAGTCTCAGACCTCTGTGTTATAAAAAGAGGAGCTGAAGCAGACTTAAGCCATTAATTATTTGGCAAGGTTCCGAGGCATTCACCATAACTTCTCATCATGGTTTGCAAGCATGCAGGACACCTCTGTCTACTGCCTTGTCCTAGAAATGAGCTTGGGGAGTGATTAGGAACACAAACATTTCTG